GCGATGGTGAAAGGTCAATAACCGAAGAGACAGAGGTTTTCGAGTGCGACTCGGGTGCGTGGTGAAGTGAGGGAAAAAATGGAGGAAGCTCGGATCGGAAGAGACGGCGAGGAGCGTCCAGAATATTTTAGGACATGGAGATGCCGATGACCGACGAATTCCAGTAGTCTACATTGGCTTTGCCGTGTGCGTGACGTGCCCTCTGCGCGCTGCCCGAGACCCGCCGCATTCGCTGTACGACAGGGGTCGACCCCTGCCTCCAAGTAAGTGAAGCGATGCTGTGTTGCCAACCATCTATCCTCATCACGACGCTGCTCATCACGACCATGCGACTGGCTAGATTATATCTCCGGCTGAGAGTGTATTTGAGAGCTTGTTCATGGCAACGCCGTTCCACCTACCAACTACATTGAGAAAACCCGCTATACCACCGCATACGCCGACACATAACTCACGCTCATGTCGTCCGCATCCTCCACCAAATTACTCCTCTCGTACCGAACAAACTGGAACCTCCCCTTGTCCTCCCCACCACGTCCCTCCTCCTCGGCCAGCAGCTCGAGTGCCGCCATCATGACGCCGATCGGATGCCGTCCGCAAACCGTGTTTTTGGTCAAAGACAAGTTGTCGTAAAATTGAGCATACTCACCCGTCTTGATGGCCGCGATCGCCTGGTCATCGAGCTCCTTGATCGTCTCGTGAATCGGCCGGCCCGCAGGCACGCGCGACCGCGACGAAATGTGTTGTAAGGTGTCGTCGACCTGGGCGTCCGGGCTGTACGGCGTGTAGCTGAAGTTGTCGCCCCAGTGGCAAAAGTCCGAGCTCACGACAAAGGCGTTCGTCGGGTCCCGCAGGTACGGCAGCAGCCAGGCGCCCACCGCGCGCTCCGCCGTCTTGGTGCCGTCGCCGACGAGGATGGGCACCAGCGTCGGGAACTCGTCGGGCGAGTCGAAAGCCTTGGTGAACATGGTCCACAGGTAGGGCAGGTGCATCTCGAGCGAGTGCTCCTTGTTGTCGTTGGACAGCGGCATGTCGGGGATGGACAGCTCGGCCCGGAGCGTGCTGACGACCTCCTCGTCGACCCTGATGTTGCCGAACGGCGTGCCGTAGTGCTTGAAGGTCGTGACGGCGCAGCCCTTGAGGTAAAAGGTATGGGATGGGCCGAGGAGGAAGACGCGCCTCGTCTGGCTGAGGTCGAGACTCTTGTACGCCCAGGCTGCCGTCGGGCCCGAGTAGCTGTATCCTGCATGCCTGCGCAGGCGTCAGTGGACAAAGGGGGCCGACAGCGGGCTTGTTCGTGCTCACGGGGCAATAATTACGCGGGCGCCAGGGATCGGGACGTCGGACGAGTTGATTTGGCTCGGCACATCGTCCAGGAAGCCTTCGAGTTGTTCAGCCAGTCGCTTCGCGTCAGCCAGGTACCATGAGCCCGCCTTGCCGGGTTTCCGGACTTCTCGAGAGGACATGGTGGGCGTTGTCGATGTGCTTTGCTTTGCTCCCGATTCAGGTCCTGATAGCACAAACAGAGCAGAAAGCAGTTCCAGAGTCTTCCACTCTAGCCAGGCGAGTCAACCGCTGATGTCGACCTGACGTCGAGAAGGAGGGTCCAACTGCTGGAGGAGGAGGGCGCTGCCCCGCATTCAAGCTTCAAGGCGTGAGGAGGGGCAGGCAAGGCAGGGCAGCACCTAAGCCACTGCACACTGATGACGGGACAGCCGAGCTCCCACGCACCCCTGTCCCTGTCCGCTTGGCGTCGAACCACGCTGGAGCTCCCACTAGCTCGAATCACTTTTCCATCGCGAAGCTCGAAAACACCATGAAACAGGGTTCGACATTCTTCGACTGATATACCTACCACCTCGAGGCGACCAAACTTTCGCCGAACTCGGCTCAGAACTCATCGCCTGTGTCATTGTGCCACTGTCCGGCTTGGACAGACCATCCAGGCTCTGATGCTGCGCCAATGTTGCTGCAGCTGCCGAACGCTGGCGTCGCGCGGGCCTGGGACGACGCTGAGAGCTCGACAGCTCTCCCGACTGCAGCCATGGTCCTCCATGCCCACGACGCCATCGCAATCAAATCGCCTCTACTCTTCGAAACAGCCAAAGCCGGCCGACAAGGAACAACTGGCGAGTCAATTCAGGGATCTCCGTGAGTGCCTCCCCCAGCCGCTACGCGACACGTCTGGCAGCTACTGACCACTGTCCTGTCCAGTCTTCTTCCCAAAAATGTCCCCACGAGAACGATGGAAGCCTGGAGAGACGGCAATCACGATCCATGGCTTCATTGGCAAGATTCGAAAGGTGTCCAAGGAGCTGGCATTCGCCAACATTGAGCTCAACAACGGCGAGTTCCAGGGCCAGATCTGCGCCAAAGGAGTCGAAAAGGCCGACGCCCTACGCAAAATCCAGCCCTACAGCGCCGTGACGAGTGACCGGCAACATGACCGACGCATCATCACCGAACAAATTCGACATGGAAATCGAGTCGATCGGCCACCTGAACCCTTTCCCAAAGGACATTATTGTCTCATCCGACGCCGTCTTCCCGGCTGAGGCTCGCCACCTGCAGCTGCGCTTCCACGCCAAGTTGAAGGAATCGCTGCGCTTCCGTGCGTTTCTGAAGGCATCCCTAGGACAGACCATGAGCAAGCTGGGCTACATGGATGTGGAGACACCGACGCTCTTCAAGTCCACCTCCGAGGGCGCGCGCGAGTTTCTCGTCCCCACGCGCAGGGCGGGCCATGCCTACGCGTTGCCCCAGAGCCCTCAGCAGTACAAGCAGGTGCTCATGGCCGCGGGGCTGGGTGGCTACTATCAGTTTGCGCGCTGCTACCGCGATGAGGACCACAGGGCCGACAGGCAGCCCGAGTTTACGCAGATGGATCTGGAGAAATCGTTTGCGACTGGCGAAACGATTCAAGCTGATGTTGAAGCGTTTATGCAGGCGACGTGGGATGCCATGCGCGAGGAGTACAACCGCAAGGCCGACGACACATCCTTTATCCCTCACAGGAAGAGTGCGCAAAGTTCGGATGAGCCATCTGGCGGAGAGCCTGTGCCCTACAAGGATTACCCAGCCATTGCAACACCGTTCCGGAGGATGAAGTACCAGGAATGCATGGACTTGTACGGTTCGGACAAGCCCGACCTCCGCATCCCGAACCGCATCGAACGGGTCGACACCCATCTGAGCCCCGGCTTCGTCAGCATGATCACCGATCTCGAGAACCCCATCGTTGATGCTTGGGTGTTCCGGCCACATGAGGATGCGGACCGAAAGGAGGTCCATGAGTTTATGCAAAACTTTCTGCAGAACCTTCACAAGAGCCACTCGCAGAACCCGGATGGCGCGCCCCAAGCCCTGATGTACGACACAAGCAAGCCCCTCGAGGGCTTCTCTGCTCTGGGTCCCGACGGTCTCAAGACTCTGCAAGATGCTGCCTCGCCCGAGTCTGGGCTGTCAACACTTGAGAATGGTGACGTCGTCGTCTTCCAGGCGCGTCAGGACCGCCCTCACCAGGGCGGCTCGACCAAGCTCGGCGAGGTCCGCATCGCTCTGTACCACGCCGCCATCGAGGCTCAGCTCCTCGAGCGCGACGACAGTTTCCAGTTCCTCTGGGTGACCGATTTCCCCATGTTCACGCCCAACGAGGAGGTCGACGTCGGCCAGGGCGGCTCCTCAGGCTTCTCTGCCACCCACCACCCGTTCACGGCGCCCCTCACGGTCGAGGACCTCGAGCTCCTCTTCACAGACCCGCTGAAGGCCAAGGCCGACCACTACGACCTCGTCCTCAACGGCGTCGAGCTAGGCGGCGGCAGCAGGCGTATCCACGTCGCCGCCATGCAGGAGTTCATCTTCCGCGACATTCTGCAGATGACCAAGCCCAAAATGGCCGAGTTTTCGCACCTGCTGAAGGCGCTGCGGGCGGGCTGCCCACCGCACGCGGGCTTCGCGCTGGGCTTTGACCGGTTCGCGGCGGTGCTCAGTGGTTCGAGCTCGGTCAGAGATGTGATTGCGTTTCCCAAGAACAACAAGGGCGTCGACGAATTTGCTGGTGGGCCGGGGAAAATTAGCGATGAGCAGCTGACGACATATCACCTGCAGTTGCGGAAGAAGTAGACTTGTACGATGCGCAGTGTAAGATTTAGGTGTACCTCTCAATGTAGGATGGATATGAATGGCATAAGAAGAGCCATGACACCACAGTGAAATCATGCCGTGCAGCAGAAGCCGATTGAATCCCATGTCAGTAGGTAGTGTCACGTAATAAAGAGGATAGGACAATTTGGGTGGCTATGGTATTTATTATAGTCGTAGTGATCAAGTATCAAGTCGCTCCTAGTAAAACAGTCCCGGTGGTATTCCTCCCGTGGTCATTCCATTCATTCCTACACACACCCCGTGTGTGTGCGCGTGCGTTTCGCGTTGGCACGCTCAAGAACGCTTCCACTGGCCGGCATCCTCAGTGCCCTTGCCGAGCGAGTTGGCGGCGTTCTCAACGCCGGTGCCAACGTTGCCGAGGCCGTCGCCAACGGGGCGGCCGGCCTCGCCAGTAGCGCCGGTGATGGTGTCGCCGAGACCGCGAGTCGCAGCGCCGGTGACGTTACCGACGGTGCGGGACAGACCGCCGACAGTGTTGCCGAGCGCGGAGGTGAGGAACTGGGCTCCGCCAGTGACGCCGTTGTTGTTGCCAGAAGACATTGTGATGGGTTTGGTGGTTGGTAGTGGTTGGGTTGAAGAGTGCGTTTGGTAGAGTGTGTGTATGTTTGATTGATGGATGGCTTGTTGATGATGAGTTCTCGAAAGAAAAGAGCAACGTAGAGCGGCTTGAGGCGACGTTCTTATAATCCTCTGGCTCTCAGGCAACAGGCATCTCTCTCTCTCTCTCTCTCTTCTGACGAATTTCAAACGCAAGGCCAAGCAACGACACAACACCCATCAACCTCAACATCATCCCCACCCCCTGGACAAGGCGTGACGTCAGGCCCACTTCAGGGTCTCGAGAGCTGCGAAAGAGTGGGTGTGGCTGATCATCCTGCGATCGCGCCTATCACAGCCACACCTACCCTGGGGGCTTGACATCACAGCGATGAGAGAATAACAAGATCAACTCCTCACCAAGGACCGGGCCCCCCGCTCCCCTCTCCGGTGGCCCAGCTGGGCAGGGGTTGCGCGCGATGGCCTGCATGTGATGCTCCCGGTGTTCGAGGCCCCTTCTCAACTGCGTGACACCGTGAGGGAGCCCGCGAGGGGGGGGGGAGTTGCGTGCGATGATGCAACCTGGGGGCGAAAAATGGCGGCGCCAGGGTCCTCTCCTTGGAGAACCGCGCAACGGGAACGGGATGGAGGGCTGCGATGATGAACCCTGGGATGGCGGATGGAAGCGAGCCAAGGGCAAATAGGCAGTTGCACCGAAGGGAGGCGGGCAGCTTGGTTCGTCTTGGATGCTCTGGATCGATGGATGTGACGATGCGTTGGGGCTGTGGCTGTGAACCTGGTTCTCCGTGCCACAGCTCTCACAAGGCCTGCACGAGATGGTCAGTGGCGCCTCATCAGGATCGTCGAGGCGTGGAAGAGTAATCAAAGCATGGTGAGATTTCCAGGTTTATGCAGCAGATCGTATTGAGTATTTGCAAAGTTTCCAGCGGGATGATGGGATGTGAGAGCAGTCAGCAATTGCAGTGGTTATAGGCATTGGTAGCGCAAAGTCTGACGTCGAATTCCGATTAGTCTAGTGGTTAGGATATCGGCTTGTCACGCCGGGGACCGGGGTTCAATTCCCCGATCGGAAGTTTCCTTTTGCTCTCGCGGGCAACGAGATGTTTTAGAGGCAATTCTTTTTTGACTGTCGCGCTTTGTTGCACCCTTTGTTTGTTTGCAATTTTAGGAGCTTGGTTTTTGAATCTGAGCGGCGAACGCAGGCTTGCCATATCAAAATCGGACAAACATGTGTACCAGCGGGCATAGAGCAAATGTGTTGACCTGCGACCCCAGTAGCAACGACATGATACGTACGATCTCCAGTCTTCAAACACGTTGAGATCATCGCTTGCTCGAAAGCTTAATTGTGCTTCCCTGCCGCCTCCTCGCCACAATGTCTTTATTCGCCAGCTTACCAAGGTTTCGATCACCACACGTGGCCAGGGTTTCACAGGAGACGGCCCGTCCTTGCAGTCATCCTTGCTAGGCAACGTCAGAAACGTCCATCGTTGAGTACATGATCTTCGTGTCCATGGAGTCTGGTTCGTATACGGTCGCCACCGTAAAAGGAATCACCGCCATGAGGCCTCATCGTTCAAAGTAGGCCTTCAGCACGCTAGAGCTATTGCTCCTCTCAGCACCTGAAGAACTGTAGGCAGAGACACGAGATGATCTCCTGTCTGGTATGCTTTGTTGCTGGTGCGGCCGAGTGTTGGGCTTCAGGACGGCAGCCCAGACGTCTACAATGCCCTGTTCGTCCGAATCAAGGCATCAACTCTGCGAGACCATCCATCTCTCGGCCCCATTTTGTGTGGCGGTCTAGGAGGACATGTCGTGGCAACTTTGTGTGCCACAGTTGCCATATTCGTCAGAGCCGGGAGACCACTTACGCGAGAGCTTCTCCCTACGGTACACAACGTGATAAGCAAGGCAGAGGCACCGTTCAACGCGAAGCTCGCCAGCATCGTGAAGCTCGTGATGACCGGGGACACGTCGTCATCAGGGCCGTCTGTGGGCCCGAACCTTGATCGCCTGTCTTCCTTGCCACTATCCAGAGGCATGGCAACGTATTGTAGCGTCGGAAGCACGCCCGTGTTGGAGTAGTGATGTGGACTCTCATTGGGGTGAATTGGACTGTAGCTGCGGGTGTCCCGCCGGCTGCACGGTGGGCTTTGGTCATCGGATCGTCGAGGTCATTCCAAGTTTGTGGACTCGGCTAGCAAGGTCTCGACAGGTTGCAGCCAGGGACTCGTTCGACGAGATGACGTTACACCATGGGCGAGTCTGTCGATCAGATGGGTGCAGATGCTGTCAAGCCGGATGCCTCTCGTGGATGCCGAAAGAAGGCTGCCGAATAACCACGCGAAGGCACCTCGACCTCGACACAGGCAGGCAAAGCATGTCTCGGATCTGCCTTTGCTCGCAGTCAAGTAGGGGTACAAGCGCCCTGCCCCTTGCCAAAGATGGAATTCATGTCAAGAGCTGCCAGAAGGACCACGGGAGACTCGCTAAGAGCTTGCTGACGTTTCCTGCCGATACCTCCCTGGTCCGACACGAGAGCCAACGCTCTTCCACAGCTGACAACCCCCAACAAGGTAGAGTTGCCTTTTAACCAATACTGGGACAAATGCAGATTCAGGAAGATCTGTGCATGTGAAGGCGACTCCACGGCTCATCTTCACAATGGGCTTTCGCCACAACCAGTGGTCAGCCCTCACCCCAGAAGCAGTAGCCAGGAGGTAATGCAGAACCGAGATATGCAACACCGGGTATTCGAGTGGGCACCCAATCAGCTCTTCATCTGGTCTTGTTAATTATGGCTGGGGGGACAGAGAAGTACGGGTTTTCTTATTCGTGCAGTCGTATGTGCCGGGGATGCAGTATGGAGTGTACAAGCATGCTATTTCCGCAGGTTCAGGGGCTAAGGGTGGGTGGCCTGCGGCTACTATCCTCACATGTCCTAGCTTTTTTCCTTCCTACGGACATCTGTTCGCGTGGCATGGGATCAAGATGCGCTGTGTGTGCCGTTGAGGAAACAACGGAAACGAAGCGAGCCGTGTCATCGAGAGCACGACTGGAAACCCCGTCGAGCTGCTACGTTACTACCAACCGCTGCCGTCTCCCAGGTTGAGATGCAGTCAGTTCACAACATCTCTCGCAGAAAAGGGAGGGCACCACCACAGCACGAAGAAATAGCTTTTCCACGGGTAGGGAAGAACCGATGCCGTCTTGGCAGGGCGAGCCATGGTTCGCTCCAGCGCAAGCCAGCTCACGGGGGCACATCGCAGCGCCATTGTGTAATACGTTCTCACAATTCTTTTGCAGCCTCATCTTGGTCTTGTCTATCATGCACCGCTCTAGCAGCTCTATACGCCAAACTCGTCAAAGATGCGAATCCAGTCACCGGGCGTGGTTGACGACGTCCTTGAGGTTGGGGTCCTCCATCTCGGAGATGTACTTTTCGGCATCGAGCGCGGCCTGGCATCCGGACCCTGTGGCGTGTCAGCATGCATCTCGACATGTCACAGAAGAAGAAGAAGAAGAAGGGAGAAGAAAGCGTACCGGCGCTGGTGATGGCCTGCCTGTAGCGCTTGTCCTGGACGTCGCCAGCGGCAAAGACGCCCTCAATGTTGGTGAGCGGGGTGCCGGGCTGGGTGATGACGTAGCCCTCGTCGTCCGTGTCGAGCTGGCCCTTGACGAGGCTCGTGGCGGGGACGTGGCCGATGGCGTAGAAGAGGCCGTTGGCCTCGACCGTCTCCTCGGCGCCGGTGCGGGTGTCATGGACGACGAGGTGGGACATGAGGCCCTTGTCGTCGCCCTTGACCTCCTTGGCACCGCTGTGGAAGCGGACGGTGACCTTGGGGTGGCCGAGCAGGCGCTTGGCCATGATGGCGCTGGCGCGCAGGACGTCGCGGCGCACGAGGACGGTGACGTGGCTGCCGTACTTGGTCAGGAAGAGGGCCTCCTCGGCGGCCGAGTCGCCGCCGCCGACGACGACGAGGGGCTTGTTGCGGTAGATGGGCACGGCGCCGTCGCAGACGGCGCAGGCCGAGATGCCGTTCTGCCAGTACTTGTCCTCGCCGGGGATGCCGAGGCGGCGGGCCGAGGCGCCGGTCGCCAGGATGATGGCGTCGGCCGTGTGCGTCGTGTCGGGCGACCACTCGAGGGCGTAGCGGAAGGGCCGCTGTGAGAGGTCGAGCGTGGCGACCGTCTCGGAGACGATCTCGGTGCCGAAGCGCACCGACTGGGCGCGCATCTTGTCCATGAGCTCCTGGCCCATGATGCCGTCGGGGAAGCCGGGGAAGTTCTCGACATCGGTCGTCGTCGTGAGCTGGCCGCCGGCGGCGATGCCGTTGGCGAGGAAGCCCTCGTAGAGCACGGCTGCAGGGATGATCCAGTCAGTACGTGGCCACTGGTGCAGGGAGAGCGAGCACGAAGGAACTCACGCTTCATGTCGGCACGCGCGAGATAGACGGCGGCCGTGTGGGCCGCAGGGCCTGAGCCGATGACTTTTCGTTTCTGTCAGTACAAGATGTCGTGAACCTGTACAGCCCCTCCTCCTCCCTGTTGTCTTCATGGTCTAGCAGAGAGACAGCACAGACACAGACACACACACCGAGAGAGAGAGAGAGGGGCGGAGCACGAGCGACAGAGACCGGGACGGAGCAGACAACCACATACTGACAATCTTGCTATGCATGGTTCTGGCGGCAATGCTCGGCTTGGCGGTGTTCTTCTGCAGGGTCGTGGCGGTGGCCGCGAAGGAAAGTCCACCCGCGCTGGCTCGCAGGGTCCGTCGAAAGGCGGATGAAAACAGCTTCGCGGTGCGCGTTCGTCGTCCACGCCGCTACGAGGTCGCGTGGATGGGGATCGAAGGGTGGTGGGAGGAAAGAGAGAGGAGGGAAGAAAAAAAGCTCGAGCGCGCGAGAAATGCTATGGCAGACACGGAGTGGGCGGGAGCGAGGGATCGAGGGATCGAGGGATCGCGGTCTCGAGGAATCGAAGCGTTTCTGGGAAGCCAAGGGTCTCTGGGAAGCCAAGGTGTAATTATACTACCTGAAAATAAACCGACTGACGGATGGGATGGGGGAGGGGCGTTTTTTTCCCCCCTTCCCAAGGCGGTAGGGTAGGTACCTTGAGAATTGCCCCGCGATCGGGCGCTCGGCATGTCCCTCTCTACTCTTCTGCGCCTATCGACCGTGATCCATCGCCTGCGCCTGCCGCCTGTCGTGCATCGCCATAGGTCCCTCAAATTCCAGATTCGAGGTGGGGGCTGAATAATGCACCAGCTTACTCATCTCTCCTCATCTCTCCATTTCATCGTTGACTCGGCCGAGCCTCGGTTGCACATTCAATTCCCCTGACGTGGGCTGGCCAGGGGAGAAGCTCTAGAAGAAGCACGGATCCCCATTATGGATTATGAGTGGTAACCTCCGAACATGGCAATAACGATGCACAAGCGGCAGTTGTCCAACGCCGAAGCCCCATGCCCCAAGAAGGGGCAGCTGCTACCAAATGCTACCCTGACGCCTGATGCTGTCTATCCCTTTCTGCATGCTGACTACCGCTGCCCCTCGTCAGCGCCATCCCTCTTCCCAAACCGCGCGCCGAACCCGCCCAGGTCTCGCCGGAAGAACTTGCCAAAGTTCTTGAGGTTCTCGTTCATCGCCTTCTCCGCCGCGACGACGCCAGACCCCCCGCCGCCCTTCTCGCCGACGACGCCGCCCTGGCCCAGGTCCCGCGCCGCGCTGAGGAGCTTCTCGCCGAGGCTCGTCGCGTCAAACTTGCCCTGCAAACCGGCCATCGCCGTGGCGCTGCTGCCTGCCGCCGACAGCGCCGAGCTCGCCGTGTTGATCGACGCCCCGGCGACCCCGGCAACCGCCCCGGCACCGCCAATACTGCCGTGACCACCACCGCCGCCGCCGCCGCTCATGCTCTGGCTCGCCAGCAGCGGCGTCAGCAGCGGGCTGTTCTGCGCGAGCTTGCCGTCGTTCGCCTTGCTGTCGCGGTGGATGCCAAACAACTCGAGGAGGTGCGCCTGGTCCTGCTTGCGCACCGCCTTGAGGTCGAGAATCTTCTTGAAGTTGACGTCCGACCGGTCGGCAATGTGGATGAGGTACGCTTGCACGAGGCCCTCGGGCGGCGACGGCCGCACCTGGAGCGTCTTGAGCAGCGGGTCGATGCGGTTCATCGTGTGCGCCACCCGCTTGACGAAGCTCGCCGGCGGCGCCTGCGCCTCGCCCGCCTTGTTGTGGAACGACAGCAGCCCTTCAAACGCCTTGGTCATGACGTACTTGTCGAGGAGCATCTGCCCGCGAGTCAGCTCTTGGCATGGAGGGGGGGGGGAGGAGAAAGCACACGCCGACAGCAGAGAAAAA